CCAGATCTCCACAAGGCGGTATCCAAGGGCCTCCACGGGGTGAGATGTTGTAGCCAGGGAGGGAGCTGGGATCTCCACGCAGCCAGGGTCCAGGGCACCTATGGTGTAGCAGCAGCATCCGGTTGGCCACAATAGCCGGCCTTGCATGGGGCTGAGGGTCTCCAGGCTTCAGACCGGTGTGGCTGGCGGTGGGCAGGAGGTGGGGGAAGGAAAGTAAGTCTTTTTGGGAACTCACTTTTGGAGAATCTCACAGTTCCACTTATGCCGTTGCCATCTTACCAGAACTCTCCGAGTTTTCCCTTGTTAATCTGACTTTTATTTTCAGGAGAGTGTCTCAACTAAGAACCCATAAGAGAAAACAAAAATTATTTTCTCCCCTACATTAGACAATAGGTTAAATACACAGTAAGACCTAACTTTTCCCCTCCTATCATGATTGACATCTTGATGTTTTCCCAACTCAGACAGTTTTATTTAAGAGTCAAAAAAATTCTGAAATTAGATAAGAAATATTTATTTATTTTCTTCCTTTATATATTGTTTTATGAATAATGTTCTTACTTTTGAATCTTTTATTGAATTGTAATATGGCAAGAAACATTTATATAAACTATTTCATTCATTCAGTTTTATTTCAAGTTTTAATCCAAGTCAAAACTTAAATTAAAAAGTTATAAGTATAAAACATAATATAATTAAAATAGCATTTAATTTTGGGGAATATAACCGTCTAATGTGGTTACACTAAATGCTTTTAGAAAAGCATACTCTCTCAGGAATGTCCTTAGATGATAATATGGTTTCCTTTGATATTTTTTAAACACTCATTTTTGTCTTATATATGTTTAGCACCAAGATAAATATGTGTATGTATTAACTATAGTCACCATGCTGCATATGTAACATATATGTCACACGGTATAGACTGAATTGTGCCTCCTCCCCACCAAAATGTATATGGTTGAAGCCTTACCCTCATTGTGATAGTATTGGAAATATGACTTTTAAGAATGCGATTAAGATTAAATGGGGTCATACAACAACTTGTGAGTGTTGTCCTAGAGTAGGAACATATTGATAATGGAACACACGAGATCTGACAATTAAGTTGGTGAACTTGCCAAGCTTGCACTTACATTGGCAGCATTGTACAAACCATTTGGCAAGATTTCATAACCTTGGTATATCAGTGTCTCACAGCTGTGTTCATGTCAATGTGTAGCAGTGTCTTGCCATCATGAGAATGTCAGAGCTTGAATGAGAGCAACGAACAAACATTAAATTTATTGTTAAACTAGGAAGTGAAATCAGGGACATATTAGTCCAAATTTATGGGGATAATGTCATGAAGAAAACAGCAGTGCACAAAGACTAAACTTCTTTTTGAGGGGAGAGAAAGCATTACTGAAGAAGAGAGTTCAGGACAGTCAGTAATGAGTAGAACTGACAAAAACAATGCAAAAACTCATTGAATTGTGTGTCAGAATCATCAGGTAACAGTGAGAGGCATAGCAGACCAAACAAACATCAATAGAGAAATAGGAAAATCTTTACTGAAAATTTTGGCAGGTGTATGCAAATACTGTCCCGAAGGAGCTCTTGCATACACAGCATTGTCTGTGAAGAAGTTTTTAGCCACTTAACAAATAACTGTGTTGGGACACTCTCCCTGCTCACCTGATCTGGCCCCCAATGACTTTTTTTCCCTTTACCTGAAGATAAAGGAAATATTGAAAGGAAGATAATTTGATGATATTTAGGACATCAACAATAATATGACAACAACTCTGATGGCCATTCCAGAAAAAGAATTCCAAAAATGCTTTGACAGGTAGACTAGCCACTGGCATCAGTGCATAGCTTCTCAAGAGAAGTGCTTCAAGGGTGACCACAGTGATATTCAGCAATGAGGTATGAAGCATTTTTTTGTAGGATGAGTCTGTGTACTTAATTGTCAGACCTTGTATAACATGGTAGAACCAATATCTTATATACCTTTTTATTTCCAGAGCCCAGAAAACATTCTTGACTAACATATAGGTAAAAAGATGATGGGTGCTACTCAGGGACTACATAAACCCTCAACAGAAGCCAGAAAAGAGATAGAATTATACCACCTAACACACTGATAGTTTGAACTAAATGTGGCAGAGAAAGGGAAACCTAATTAAGGCAGGCTGTGGGACTTCTTGGAGTCTGCAAGGACTGGATCACTATCATAAAGGAAGGGGAAGAATGACCCTAAAGGGGATTCAGAGATCATTAGGGCTGCCACTCTCACAACAGGCCTAGGGGAACAAGATTGTATCTGTGTTTCAAAGGATGAGGTTACCTCTCCAGTGTCAGGGTGACAGGATGACCCTATCCATTGACTCAGAGGTAGAGCCCACCCTTGCAGAGAGCCACTTGGGCAGGGCACTTGCAGAGAGACCCTGCAAAACCAGAGGGACTAGAGGGCAAAACACTGAACCAAAGAGGATTATTCTTGAGTCTTAACATCTAATGAAATTTGCCTTGCTAGAATTTGGACTTGCTTAGGACCCATCACCCATTCCTTTCTTCCAATATTTCTCTCTTGGAATAGAAGTCTCATCATTGTATTTTGGAAGTACATAACTTATCTGATTTCACAGCTGGAGAGAAAGTTTACCTCGGGATGAATCATACCTTGAGTTTCACCCATATCTGATTATATGCAATTTCTTGGTAGTTCTTTGTTTTTCCAAAGTTTTACTGGGGTATAACTGACAAATACAAATTGTATATATTTATGATATACAACATGATATTTTGATATATGTATACACTATGAAATGATTACCACAATCATGCTAATTAACATATCCATAATATTTAACACAGTTATTCAGATTTTGTGGTAAGAACATTTAAGCAATTTCCAAGTATATAGTACATTATTATTAACTGTAGTCACTGTACAACATGTCTCTAGAACTATTTATCCTTTCTAACTGAAACTTTGTATCCTTTGACCAACATCTCCTCATTTCCCACCCTGCCCCTCACCCTAAGTCCCTGGCAACCACCATTCTACTCTCTACTTCTATGAGTTTGGCTTTTTCGGAGTCTAAATATGCATGAGATCATGTAATATTTGTCTTTCTGTACCTAACATTTCATTTACCATAATGTCTTCCAGGTATCTCCATGTCACAAATGACAGGATTTCCTTCTTTTTAAGACTGAGTAGTATTCTAACGTGAGTATATCACATTTTCTTTATCCATTCATCCTTCGATGGACAATTATGTTGATTCTATATCTTGGCTATTGTGATAATGCTGCAATAAACATGGGGGTGCAGATATTTCTTCAATATAATGATTTTATTTCATTTGAATATATACTCAGAAGTATATATTGGATTGTACAGTAGTTCTATTTTTAATTATTTGACAGACATCCATACTGTTTTCCATAATGACTAAACTAATTTATGTTCCCACCAACAGTGTGCAAGGGTTCTTTCTCCCCATCTACACCAACACATGTTATCTTTTGTCTTTTTGGTAATAGCCATTCTAACACATGTAAAGTGATAGTTCACTGTCGTTTTGATTTTCATTCCCTTGATGTTGAGCATCTTTTCATGTAACTGTTGACCATTTGCACGCTTTCTTTTGAGAAATGTTAATATCCAAAATATATAAGGAATTCATACAACTGAATAGTCAGGTTTTATTCCCACTTTTAAAAGAGGTTGTTTTCTTGCTATTGAGCTGTATAAATTCCTTATATATTTTGGATATTAATCCTTTATCAGCTGTATGGTTTGCAAATATTATCTCCCATTCCATAGATTGTCTCTTTACTCTGTTGATTATTGCAAACCATGCAAAAACTTTTTGGTGTGATGCAATTTCATTTTTGCTTTTGCTACCTATGATTTTGGAGTCATATCCCAAACTCATAAACTCATTGTTCAGACTAATGTCAAGAAGCTTTTTTCATATGTTTTCTTGGAACTGTTAAGATGGAAAGAAGGTGTTTTTCACTCAGAAGGGTTTGAAATTTAGGGGCCAGGAATGAAATGCTAAGGATTTAATTGTGTCTCCTGGAATTCACACATTGAAGCCCTTACCCCCAATATTATATACTGGACACAGATCCTTTAAAGAGGCAACTAAAATTTAAAAAAAAAAATTCATGAAGGTAGGTCCTGGTCTGATTAAATTTATTCCCTAATAAGAAGAGATTCAAGAGAGCCTGTGTTCTCTGCCCACAAAGAGGAGGTTATGTGAGAACATGGGGGATAGGAGCTGCTTACAAGCCAGGAAGAAGGGGCACATCAGAAACTGACTCTGTCAGCACTATTATGTCAGAATCCCAGCCTACAGAATTATGAGAAAATAATTGTATGTTGTTGATGTGATCCAGTCCGTGGTACTTTATTATGGTATCCTGAGCCCAGACTGATACATCACACATGTGCCACATATAACATATGTGTGCTGTACCTGTTATGCATGTGCATGAGACACAGGAGTTGCACATACACGCACACACACACACAGGCACCCACACACACATACACACACACACACATATATGTAAGTTAAGTACATGTTCTACATTATGTTACATATGTATATCACATACATATGACTCTCTCTACCTATTTAGCTATATATCTACACACAGATATTGGGAGAGAGCAAGCAACCACTAATCTCCAAGTCTGAGAGTTAGCATTCTGTGATTTCATATTCAAGCCCTGATCATATGCCAAAGTCAGTGATCCATGCCATTGATTATAGGGTAGCTAAGTTATACAACATAAGAATACAATACTGAAAAAACAATACAAATCTCTTATTGAAATAGGTCAGCAGCACAGTAGTACCTTTACATAAAACAGCTATGAGTAATTTTGTAATCCTGAAGGTCTTAATTAAAATAAGAATGTTTACATTTGCTGTAGCTAATGTATATTTTAAGCTTATCAAAGAAATATCACTTTTAATGTTTTGTTAATGTACCTTATCAGAGATCCATTGCTTAGGATTTTCACTTCGAAAATGTTGTTCTCCATAAGACTCGGGACCATATTTGCTTGATGAATGCATTGATGGGATGTATTTTTTATTTTTATGGTAGGAAGAAAATGGTAAAAACCTGAAAGAAATATTTAGGAGATATTCTTAGTTTGATTTCTAGAGTCATTTAATTTTAAAAAATAAGGATTTGGAGAAGTAGTATAGGACAGTAAAAATGATACATAATCAAAATACTTACATTCCATTTCAACCTCTGCCACTATCTCTGTTGATAACTCATAATTCTTTATTTTTTATTCTGAAAATGAAGATACTAAAACTTTCTTCACAGAATTTTTGTGAGCTTCAAATGTTTTGTAAATATAGACAATGTTAAATTAAAAATTTATGAATTAATGATGTCAAAAACTCAAAATTCATCATATAAGCATAAATATTCTTAATTTGAAAATAGCATCCCAAAATAAAAAGGGCAGTCAGTACAGTCAATGCTCATTGAAATAGGTTTTTCTACAAATCTTAAGTCATACAAATAACGGAGGCATCATTGGCAGAAGTTATGAATAATGGGGCTTTTGAGTCAGCCAGACCTGTATTCACATCTTAGCTTTCATTGCCTCTGCTAGCTGCATTCCTTCATGCAAGTTACCTTTATGAGTTTTTACTTCTATATAGGGTGTTTATGAGGAATGAACAACTCAATATATGTAAAGCATTTCACATAGAGGTTGAAAAGAACAAGAGTTCAATAAATAATGTTGGTGCTAAAAGTAGAAGTAAAAGTAGAAGCTACTTTTTGTTGCAGCAATTATTATCATTATCATTTTTACTTTAGGTGTTATTATTATCAACATAAAAGCAAAGACCAAACTTTTAAAACCCATATATACTCTCACAGAACATCTAAGACTATGATGTCCTTTTAGTGTAACCTGATGAATTGCTCAAATCCTTCACCAAAACCCCCTCAAGTAACAGGAAAGGAATAAAAAAGGTTATAAACCTACAAAAAGAAAGAGAGCAGAAAGTGAGAAGGAGCAACTGAAAATGCCAACCAAATTTTGGTAGGTAGAAAGCAGATAGAAATTTGTAACTGACATAGAAGAGTTAAGAAGACTGAAATCTAGGTGCCAAAAGACTGAGATGCCAAAGAGAAATTGGGCAATTTGTAGAGAACTTGGGCTACAGTTACTGCAGAAGGTGAGAGTGAGGAACAAAGCCAAAAACAGATTAAAAATCTATATAGAAAGTAATTAAATGCTCTAGTAGCTGTGCCAGTTCATGTATCCACAAAAGAGCCTATACTCAGGAAAATTTATACCAAAAAGCTGTAGTCTTGGGGAAAGTAAGCATGGTAGAAGGCCAAAGTGAGGCATCAAATGGAATATATGAATTTTAATCCAAAGTCTACCCACTGAATTCTTTCCTTGCTTCTCTCTTAAGTGAACTGGCGGTGGACCTATATCCTTCAGAAGACTGCATCTTTTCAAAAGATACTGAAAGCTCCCAGAAAAATTGAGTTCAAATATCATAATTTGGAGGTGTCTTGATTAAAAGGCTGTACCTAATAAAATCTATCAATCAAAAAAAGCCACTTTCTCACAGAAATTCAGCTTCTAATCTAATTTTTACATTCTCCTTTTTAGTATGAATTTAAGAATGGATTACCAATTAGGAAAATAATCAACATGAAAGGAAGACATCAACCCAATTGTAAAGGATAATCTAAAGAAAACAGACATCATAATGCAGGAACAGAAGTAAACTCAGAAATTTTTAATAAATGCGATCAAAGGAGATATGGGATCAATGAAATAAAAGTTGGATGCTTTTTCTAAACAACAGAAACATTTAGAGAAAAGTGAAGGCTCTGGGAAATGAAAATATATATCACAAAATAAAATATTCTACTGAGAAAAATATCTGAAAATTCAGACTTTGAAAAAATAATGTTGAAATTCATCATATATTTATTTGAGCCATTGCCATATGCCAAAATTTTGACACAAATTATTTCATTGAGTTAGGACAAGAAAGGGTGTTTTTAAAAATGTAAATTCAACTGAAAATTTATTTTTTGCCACTTAATAAACAGAAAAAGTAGTGCTATTTCACTAATTTTTATACCTCTGCAATTTCTTTTTAACATATATCAATAAATTTCTTCTTAATGTTTTTCCTAAAAAATATTTTCTAATACCATTAAAATTAAAAAATAAGTAGAGTACAAAGTTTTGAATTATACAGAGTTACAGAAGCATGTATTTACATATTCTCTTGAGAAAAGAGCTCTCATATAAGATAGATTATGGTCCTTCCAATGCTAATTTGCACATGGGATGGACATCACACACACAAAAATTAATGCGGCCCCAATGTCCCAGAGTATACAAAGGAGGTGCTGTGAGCCGGCTGCTGCACTTACAGTTTTTATCACTTCTGAATTGCATTTTAATAGTACATTTTTCTTTTGTGTCTGAACAAAATTTTCTTTCTCGAGGGAATGGATGGCTGAGAAGATAAGGCTGAAAGACTAGGTATTTCCCTACTTATGAATTAATTCTACTTTAATTTAGTCATAATGTTTCATTAAAGTAACATGCATATTCTTAAGTGTGTGTGTATATATATATATATATATGCATGCTTATATGTGTATATATTCAAAAATATATAGATATTTTATAAATAATCTTTATATTATGTTTATCTTCAAATTAGGAAAAAATATTTAATTTTCAAATGACATTTGCTCAATAAAGTATAAGTAGCTATGAAAACCCTCAAAATCACTTTAGTTTATGATGAAATTTCAGATAATTGTCAATTACTTTAAAAATATGTTATTTTACCAGTTTTAAATCTATATTCAGTTGTATTTTGTATTCAGCAAATAGTGAGTACTTTTCAAGTAACTGAAATGCATGTTAAAGAAGATACAGACTTGCCTATTATTTGTTATTATATTATCAAACATATAGATCTGGCAAAAACTCTTAAAAACAAATAAGTCATTACTTGAATGAGTAGTTACAGAAGAATTCACAGAGGTCTCAGGAAGCAAAAGTTAAAAATAGTCAATTTGCTTCAGAGACAATAGGTTCACTGCAAATGTATTATAATTACGTTGTATATATTGAGTATTAATATCTTTAACATTATTTCTCAAATAAGAAAACTGACAAATTACACTTTTCTTTTTTCCACCTTTTTACTCTTTCATTTCCTGCCTTTTTTTATAGTCCTACTATTGTCACTCATCATTCTAGGTTTTCCTCCAACCCATTATTTCACTGTCAGATAAATCAAATCTTCAAATTCTAAACCTCTCTTATCTACTGCTTCAAGCCTAAATTCTTCAACCAACCATCAGCTTCTTCAAATGTACTTCATCTGTTCAGTCTTTGGTCATTCCCTATCTGTCCTTCTCTCAATGTCATTCACCTTTCTGCCTTTCTTAAATGGCAGAAGCACTAAAAGGCATCAAAATTGATGAGCTTAAAAACTGTTCTGAGCAGTGGAAAAAGTATCTCAAAGGTTCATTGCATCAAGGAAAAAGTACTTTGAAGGTGACTGAAGTTTAAACATGTAAGAATAAATACACAATTTTTTATAAATAAATTCTGGGTTTTTTGGGGGATCTCCTCTCATACAAAGATAGGGAGGTGGGTTTGAACATTAAAAAGCAATGCTGAAGAAACTTAAAAGCATGCAACATAGCTAGAAAATTGAGTTCTTGTGAAGGAAAGGAAGTGGATAATAAACAGCCTTATAGTGAAGATGAAATTGCCAATGGAGAATATATATAGTAATATAGTACAGATTATTACAAATTGCAAAACAGTTTTCTTTATTTTTATATATGTATGAATTCTGACTGCCCAATAGGATAGTTATGCAAGCCACAGTAACTTCTACCTTAGGTAAATTAGGTATTTCAAAATGGACACAGTGATTTATAGATATAGATATCAAGCACATGGCTTAAGGAATAGGTCTGACACCAGTCATGTCCTAGATCTGCTCCCTCTCTGTTGAAGAGTTCCCAATGCAATATATGCATTGAGCACAAAGCAGAATAAAGGGATACTTTATAACAAGTTAGGAATTTGGTTCTAGACTGTAATAAATTCTCCAATGAGCATGGAAAAGCTTACAAGTAAGCCTTTCTGCCTTGGTTAGAGGCAGGAGAAATAGCAAATTAGAACAACTTTCTCCAAAAATGTATAGCAAAGCTTGTATAATCCAACCTTTTCTAATATGGGGACAGCTCCTGGACCTACTCTCAGCATCTCAACAGGTAGCAAAGATAAGAGATGTGCTAAGAGATAGCACAGTTGTTTTTCCAGAGAGAATGGTCTTACTCTTTCACCACTGGCCAACAAAAGGAAAGAGAAAGACAGTCAAGAATTCTCCCCATAGGAGGCAAATCCAGGGTGACATTTTACTACTTAAATCTCCTGAGAGGCCAAGAAAATTTCTAAAGAGAGATCACAGCAGCCCTGTTCCTCCTTTAGCTGAATGGAGAACGTTGACAGGGGAGGGGCCGGGCAGAAGAGGCAAAGGGAAATTTAGGCTTCTCCTAGAGATAGCCCTTATAATATTCAAACGGATGCTCAGCTCTGGGTCTGTATTATGTAAGCAAACATTAAGTATATAGTAAACTTTTGATGACTTGATTCACAGTTATTTCAATCCATCAAATATGTTTTAAGTAACTAATATGTTTAATATATTGTGCTAGATGCTATGAGTATAAAAAGGGGCATAAGCAGATGCCTCATCCAAAGACTTCAAATCTTATGAGGGAAAAAGACAAATAACCACAACAATATAAAGAGGGGAAGCAAGACTTTATGAGAGAGGCAAAAAAAAAAAAAAAAAAAAAGTGGATGAGAATAAAGAGCAATGAGGGCAGTATCTAACCTGCACTTTCACAAATTGGTTAGATTTTATTATATAGAAATGGAAATTGAGGTAGAAGATGCAAGTAAGGAAACTGTATGAGGTAAAAGGTAAAATGCTTAGAGGTAAAAGATTGGGGCACACATGTGGGATCTTATAAGTACAGAGTGAAGATGTCTGGAAAATAGGAAGAATTTTCTTCATAGGTAACTT